AACAAAAGAGGCGAGAAAGAGAGAGATTAAGGTTTAGAAGAAAGTATTTTCTTTATTCATTGATAAATAATTCATTGAAATGGATACATTTATAGGTAAGACATCTAAAGAATCCTTACCATAGAAGGAAACTAAATAATCTAGGAATCCTAATTATAAATGGTAACAAATATCCTAACAATAGAATATTACTTTCTAATAATAATATAATTAACTAACCATAAATAATAATACTACCTAATATAATAATAATAACCACTAACCATTAATAATAGTAATAATAATAATGACAATTAATCCCGTATCAACGGTCGACCGCCGTTAAGGACGGTGGCCCGTTTCCCTTGACCGTCCGTCGGCCACCACCGTAACGGTCGACCGCCGGCCGCGACGAAAGACTGGGGTGGACCATCGGCATTCCAGAACTCCACAACGTAGCTCACGGTCGACCGCCGGTAGGGTACGGTCGACCGTTTCCCGGGCAGTTTTTCGGACAGTTTGTAGAACGAGCCCCGTTGACCATATTGACTCAGAATCTGATAGTATGTTTGCATAAAATGTTAATCTTCAATATGTATGTTATTTATTTGATATATTATTGGCGTTGACCAAAGGTAAATACATCAAGCATTCATCACGTTCATTCTAGTCACATGTCCTAGGTTTATCATCATGTGCATACCGCTGTAGGGAGGTCAGGTTTTCGTGCGCCTACTACAGTGGGCCCGTCCAGGAACCTTTGGGGTCCAACGGGTTTTCACCAGGTGGGCTTTGTGTACGTACATGGTAGTCAGGCTACGGCTACCACCCAGTTTTGCTAGTTCACTTGCGACATTTTCGTCGAGCCCGGCTCATTACCGGAGTGCAGGGGTGATCCTGTCAAGTGAGACTAAGCCAGGGGTGTCTCTGATAGTTTAAGTCATGCATCAAGTCATATCGTCATCATGTGGGTTCCATGTCATGTGAACATTCAATGTGGTCATCATCATCATGTATGTTCCACGTCACATCAACATTCAATGTGGTTGTTATTCATCTTGTTATGTGTAATAATATCCCATCAAGTGCAAATTAATCAGTTAGTAAACATGTGATTTTTCCGTACGTTAAAGTACAGGTATTAATATGTGTATAATCATATGGGTTATCACTTCATGTTCTTTTGTTAGATTCACTCCTCAGCTTTTGTTGAGCGTGTAGTTGTTTTTGCTACACGCAAGTAGACATGACGGTACAGGTACTAACCCTGGAGGACAGTGATGATGGGAAGATGGGCGGTGCACGGACGAGTCTAATAATTATAACCATTTAATTAATTAATCATTTGGGCATGAACCCACCATATGTCGTTTTACTCATTTTGGACTCATTTATGTATTTCCGCTTTTACTCTGCATTTATATCACTCACGTTTTGGGAATAACTCCTAGCATTTATTCCATTAATTAAACCCAACCGTTTTCATAATCAATAAGCATTAATGTTTTTCTCTACGGACAATCCTCGGACCGCCCATGTAACCCTACCGGTCCGTTGGGTCGCGGGTGAACCGGGTCCACGGAAGGCGGGTGTTACAAATGGTGTTTCCTTCTTTACATTTTACATACACACACACACACACATATATATTGTAGCCATATACCACATGTATATATATATATAGGGGAGGGATCAAGTGAAAATGAGTTGCTGTGAAAGAAATGAGAATGATCTAGATCCATTAGATTTACTCCATTGTGCGGTCTCCAATATGCAACATAAATTATTTTATAAAAGGAAAGGAGAATTGTTATTGGGTATGTTAAATGAGACAGACACGTGGAAGGGCATTTCTGGGAATGGAGAAGTACATTAATAAGCGTAAAAAAGGTGCAGATCTTTAATATCCCGCCACTTACGCATTTTGCCTTGAATAGAAGTCTTTTTGCTTTCTTCCATAACCCTTTTCTTCCGCCGGCGCTGCATTCTTCAGAGCTTCGTTCAGAGTGAAATTGGTAAGTGAGAGAAAGTTGCAGTGCACGCCTTAAGAAGAAGGAGACCTTGTGAAGTAGGAGGCTGTTAGAATTTGCATTCTAAGGCATGACTACTGCGGGGAAATCAGCGGTGGTGGTGGAAGGTATGCGTTTTTAATTTCGAAAGAGTCTATTTGATTTTGGGTTTTGTTTGTATTGCATGCCGTTGATTAATGGATCTGTAGTTTTAATTTCGAAAGGCTCTTCTACATTCTTCTCTGCGAGTTTTGGGTGCATTTGTAATTACTTTTTCTGATTTGCATGATGGATTGGTTTTGACATATTAAGTGCAGTCGTAATGTGCTTCATTTTATAAAAAAAGTGTAATAGTCTTGACTTTTATGAAACAGATTTTGGAATTTGGGTGTAGGGATTTTGTCTGGGAAATAAATGATTTTGGGTATGAGTATATTTGTGTTCTAGCATTAAACTATTTTGTGAGCACGTGTGAAGAATTGATTTTTAAATGTGAAGAATATACAAGTAATATGTGTTGTTGGGACCTCTTCATTGCAAATTAGGTCATAGTTGTTTAAATGTGATTATTTAAGGGGGGTGGAAATTGTAGTTATATTGCATAGGAAAATGATTTCAGAATGGATGTTAGTTGAAGTAGTTTTTTTGGTTGATGCATGATGTGTTTTTTATTGTATGGTATCACATTGCAGTTGTAATT